TTTTATATTTTATATTTTATATTAGTAAAAAAATTTTATAATTACTATTTATTAAAATGAATATTTTGCTGTTGGATTTAACCATATACTGATAACCACGTAAAAATAAGTAATTTTTTTTATTTTCTTACATCACAGTTCATTTTTGCTCAATATCTGATTTCTCCCATCTGGTGTAGTACCCATAAGCTCTCCCACCACCACAGCACCTAGAACAATCACCATAGTTCCTTTTGCTGTTCCCTCTCCTATTTTAACCCCTTCTTCCGGTCCTCCCCTAATATGCCTCAGATCTACGATTTGCTACAAATTTTGTCTTTGTTCAGCCATCTGTATGATTTCTCTATATTCCACCTATAAGTGAAACCATCCAATATTTTTCTTTTTCCTTCTGAGTTAATTCACTTAGCATAATCCCTACCAGCTCCATCCATGTTGCTGCAAATGGCAAGCATTTATCTTTTTTGATCACATAGTATTCCACTGTGTATATATACCACATTTTCTAGATTCATTCATCTGTTTGGGGGGATTTGGGTTGTTTCCATAGTTTACCTATCATAAAAAGTGCAGATTTCCTTTTGAATTAGTGTTTTTGTGGGTAGATTCCTAGGAGCAGAATTGCTGGATTGTATGGTAGATCCATTTTTGGTATTCTGAATGTCCTCTACACAGATTTCCAAGTGGTTGGACTAGTTTGCATTCTCACCAGCAGTGTAAGAGTTTTCCTTTTTCTCCACATCCTCACCAGCATTTGATGTGGTCAGTTTTTTTTTTTTTTTAATGTGAGCCATTCTCATCCACATGAGATGGTCTATAATTATAATTTTAACTTGCCTTACCATGACTATAACTGAGGTGGAACAATTTTTCATATACCTGTTGGCCATTTGCATTTCTTCTGCCCATTTTTTTTAGCTCTTCTGCCCATATTTTAAAAAAGATTTATTTTATTTATTTTTATATGAGACCTGGGGTACAGGCCAGAGAGGCACGGGAGGGTGAAAGGATTCACCAGAGCCAGAGCAGGGAACAGAACAGGCAGACGACTGAAATACTGAAATACACTGCTGAGAGGAGCAGCGCAACAGGAGAGGTCTGCCACACCATGTGGGAATCTCCCTGGCCAGCAGGGAAGCAAGCCCCTGCTGCAGAGGCTGTGGACAGCTTCACATCACTGCACTCAACCCGCTGCGCCACCAGGGAGGCCCCTCTCCTGCCCATTGTTTGACTTTTTTTTTTTTTTTTGCTTTGTTTTTGTTGAGTTGCGTAAACTCTTTGTAGATCTTTGATATCAGTCCCTTATCAGTTGTATGGTGGGCAAACATTTTTTCATTCAGTAGGGTGTCTCCTCATTTTGGTTATTGTCTCTTTTGCTGCACAGAAGCTTTTTAGTTTGATATAGTCGCAGCTTATTATCTTTTACTTCATTTTCTTTGCTTCTAGAGATGAGTATTCAAAGATGTTTTTGAGATGTATGTCATGGAGTGTTTTGTCCCTATTTTCTTCTATATATTTTATAGCTTCAGATCTTACCTTTGAGTCTTTTATCCATTTTGAATTGACTTTGTGCATGGTATGAGGTAGCAGTCTAGTTTCATTATTTTGCATGTGGCAGTCCAATTTTCCCAGCACCATTTATTGAAGAATCTGTCTTTGTTCCAGAGTACAGCCTTTGTTCCTTTGTCACAAAATAGTTGACCACATATGTGCGGCTTTATTTCTGGGTTTTCAATTGGGTTCCACTGCTCTATGTGTCTGAAAAATAGCTACTCTTAAAGTTTAGTAACAATAAGAGCATTAAGGTCTCATGAAACAATTTTTCAGAATTTCAACCTGCTGTATGATATTGTATATATCAAATACTCTATAAAAATAAACTACATAATGTAAAATACATTTTATAAATATATAATATATAAACATATTTTACAAAATGATGTTTCATACTCATTATAGAATAACAGAAAATTTTATAAAGAAAATGGAACAGAAATACAAGTTTAAGGAGAAATAATGATTAAAGGAAGTTATCTTTAATAAAGAGCTTGTCTGCATCCATTTATTTTTTTAATTCATTGATTGCTTTTAGCTAAGGTAATATTTGGATGCCGCCATTAGTTATTCCCACCATCGTGGAAGCATCACCAAATCACCCATAGTTCATGACCACAGTCATTGTGCTTTGTACACCTCCTCCACCTGCTCTCCACCTGCTCACCACCTTGGTACTGCAGTTCATTAGTCAACTATTAAGAATTAGTTTTTAATCTTGTCTTTATCTGGTTCTTAATTTGGTTGCTTTACATTCCATGTATTAATGGCATTATACATCATTTATCTTTCTCCTCTTATTTCACTTAGTATTGTATCTTCTAGCTCTTTCCTTGCTGCCTCAACTGGCATGAGTTCATCTATTTAAATTTCTGAATAATATTTGTGTACATATACCACATATTCTTGATCTAGTCATCTACTTTGAGGTATTTATGTTACTTCCATAATTTATCTGTAGGAAACTGCAACAAAAATCATGAGAGTACAAGTTTCCTTTCTAATTAGTGTTTTTGAATTTTTCAGGCAGATATCTAGGAGTGAAATTACTGGTTCCAGTGGGAAATCATTTTTAAGATGATTTCCTCATACGCTTTTCCATATGGGCTGCATGATTTTGCATATCTACCAGAAGTGTACTAGATTTCCCTTTTTGCCCCATCCTCACCAGTACTTGTTTTTGGTCTTTTTGATATGACCCATTGTTGATGTGTGAGATGGTATCTCATTTTGGTCTTGATTTACTTTTCTCTAAAATAATAAGTTACTGTGAATATTTTTTCATGTGCTTGCCGGCCAACTAAATAGGGTTATTTGTCTTGTTTTTCTAGAGTTGTATGAGTTCACTGTATGTCTTTAAAATCAATCCTTTGTCAGATGTAATGTGTGCAAATGTTTCCTTCCATTCCGTAGGGTGTCTTTCCATTTTATTCATGGCTTCTTTCACTGTGCAGAAACATATTAGCTTGATGTATTCCCAATTGTTTATGTTCTCTTTTGTTTTCCTTGCTTAGAGAATAAATTTTGTTTTCCTTGCTTAGAGATAAATTTCTAAAGGAATCATGAAAGTTTACATTATGAAATGTTTGCCTATGTTTTCTTCTATGTATTTTATGGTGTCAAATTTACATCCAAGACTTTTGAATTGATTTTTGTGTATAGTGTGAGACAGTAGTCTAATTTCATTCTTTTGCATGTAGTTGTCCAGTTTTCCTATCATCATTTATTCAAGAGGCTATTATTTAAAAAAAAAGATTTATTTTTATTTATACAAAAACTGGGATACAGGCCAGAGGCATGGGAGAGTGAGAGAATTCACCAGAGAATTCACCAGAGACACAGGCAGGAGAGGTCTGCCACACCATGTGGGTATCTTCCTGGCTGGCTGGGAATGGAACCCATGCCACAGAGGCTGTGGACAGCTTCACAGCACTGCACTGAACCAGCTGCACCACCAGGGAGGCCTCAAGAGGCTATTCTTGCTACAGTGTATGTTCCTGGCTCTTCTGTCATGGAGTAGATGTCCATATATATGTGTGCATTTATTTCTGGGCTCTCATTTCTCTTCCATTTGTCTGTGTGTCTGTTTTTGTACCATTATTATGCTATTTAAATTATTATGGTTTTATAGTGTAATAAGTTGGTCAGGTTTAATTTTGCTATGGTGTCTCTTGCAGTTCCATATGAATTTCAGTAGTGTTTGCTCCAGTTCTTTGAAAAATGCCAATCATATTTTTATTGGTATTGCACTGAATTTGTATATTGCTTTGAAAGGATAGCATTTTGAGAATGTTGATTCTTCTAGTTCATGAGCAGGGAATATTTCTCCATTTCTTTGTGTCTTCTATTTCTTTCACAATGTCTTACAGTTCTCTTTGTATATTTACCTCCTCTGTTAGGTTTACTCCGAGGTTTGTTTTTTTGTTTTTTTTTTTAGTGTAATTGTTACTGAAATCACTTTCTTAATTCTTTTTCTTTATCACTATTTATATATAGGAAAGCAACTAATTTTTGTATGTTGAATTTATATCCTGATACTTTGCTAAACTGATTGTTTCAATTAACTTTTTCCTTGAGATCTTATGGGTCTCTTGGTATATTATCATGACATCTGCAAATAATAATGATTTTACCTCTTTTTTCCCAATTTAGATTCATATTATATCTTTCTCGTTTCTAATTTTCTAGCCAGAACTTGCAATACTTTGTTGAATAGTAGTGGTGAGAGTAGACATCCTTGTATTTTTACCAGATCTTAGTGGAAAAGCTTTTAGTTTTTCACCAGTAAAAGTGATGTTAGCTGTGGGTTTGCTGTAAATGGCTTTGATTATGATAAGTTATATTTTGTTTATCCCCAATATTTCAAAGGTTTTCATCATAAATGGATGCTGGATCTTATCAAATCCTTTCTCAGCATCTAATGACATGATCATATGGTTTTTATCTTTGTTTTTATTGATGTGGTGAATTATGTTGTTTGACTTTCAGATGTTGAACCATCCTTAGTCCCTGGTATGAATCCTATTTGGTCATGGCGTATGACCCTTTTAATGCATTGTTGGATTCTGTTCGCTAGGATTTTTGTGTCTGTTCACTAGTAAGATTGGTCTGTAATTTTATTTTTGTGTGTTTTCTGTTAGTTTTTGGTATTAGGATAATGTCCTCATAAAAGTACTAGGAAATATTCCTTCTTTTTCAGTTTTTTGGAAGAGTTTGAACAAAACAAGCATTAGTTCACATTTGAAGGTTTGGTAGCATTCACTTGTGAAGCCATGCTGTCCCACTCTTCTGAATACTGTTTCAATTTCCTTGCATGTGATTGGTTTGTTCAGGGTTTCTATTTCTTCCCTATTCAGTCTTGGAAGATTGTATAATTCTAAAAATTTGTTCATCTATTCTAGGCTACTGAATTTTTAGGGTATAGATGTTCATAGTAGTCTAATTACAAAAATAAGGAACACTTCATGAATTTGCATGTTATCCTTGCACAGGGGCAAAGCTGATCTTCTCTGTATTATCCAATTTTAGTATATGCGTGGCAGAAGCAAACATCATATGTTTGCTTTCTAAAGGTTGGTAATGAATACAAAATTATCATATAGATTCACCGTATACATCTGAGTAAATGAAGCAGATTTTTACAATGTTAATACTTTTGAGGAAAATTTGCATCTATTTAAATTTATGATAAAATTTATATTATTAATCTGAAATTATACACAGGTAGAGTTTTCCAAAAACTCTGGAGGATTACTCCTTTCAGAAACAAGAAATAAAACAAGGCTGGAGTGGAAGATGATGATTTAACTTCTAAATATACTGCCTTTCAAGTACCCGAGGGATCTCCTAATACAGCAGCGCTAATACTTACAATGCACTGATCATTGTTTAAAACTCACGTCTAGGTATTTTACACACAAATATTTCACCCTCATTGTCACCCTATGAAGTTGGTATAATATTACTATTTTCACTTTATAAATGGAGAAACTGAGGCATAAAGTGAGAAAACTTACCTAATGCCACACAACTCTCTCAAATAGTAAAGTGAATATCAGCACAGTCAAGATCCAAAGTCTATTTGTTTATTGTTTTGTTTTGGTTTGTTTTTTTTAAATACAGTATGATGCCTCTTGATATGACTGGGTTGGAGATATAAATTTGAGGGCCAGTGGAGCTTTTAGATAGTAATTTATTTTTTAAAAAAATTTTTTTTAAGATTTATTTATTTATTTATACAAGAACCGGGGTATAGTCAGAAGCATGGGAGGGTGAGAGAATTCACCAGAGCCAGAGCGGAGAACAGAACAGACAGACCGACGAAATACACTGCTGAGGGGAGCAGCGGGAGCAGCAGGAGAGGTCTGAGCACCATGTGGGACCCTCTCCCAGCGGCCGGGAATAAAATCGGCGCAGCAGAGGCTGTGGGCAGCTTCACAGCCCAGCGCTCAACTGCTGCGCCACCGGGGTAGGCCCTTAGATAGTAATTTAAACCATGAAGTAGATGACATTACATAGAGAGTGACAATATTCAACAACAGGAAAATGAGAGTTTCAGGGTTATGTATCCCTATGAAGATGTTTCTTGCCACTTCCTTCCAGACCCCTGGACTTTTGAATGCCTCTGGCCATGGCTTTTTCAAGATGATTTTTCAAGATACGCAATCATGTTTTGTTCCTCCAAGTTACTTCATGCTGATGACATTCTTTTTACTTCTTGATCTTTGATGCAATGGATCAAATGCTTGTGTCTCCCCTAAACTGAAACTAACCCCAATGGTTGCTATTTGGAGGTGGAATCTTTAGGAGGTAAGAACCCTAATGAAAAGGTTCTTAGGTCAGGAGGGTAGAACCCTCATGAAAAAGATTAGTGACCTTATAAAAAAAAAAAAAAGCCTATAAATGAATTTATATATATTCAAAAAAGAAAAGAGAAGACAGACAGATGGGGGTGGGGAGGGCAATAAGACAGAAAAGGCCAGAGAGTGAACAAAGCTCTCTTTTCCACATGTGAAGTTACAAGAAGTCAGCTATCTGCAACCAGAAAAGGTCTCTTACCATACCCCAACAGCACTGCACCCTCCAGAATGATGAGAAATAAATGATTTTTTTTTTTGTCTATGTCACCAAGTCTGTGGTAATTTGTTATAGCAGCCCAAAGAACTAACAATGAGCTAAGATAAAAGTGTAGGCAAGGGTATATTCATTCTCTAGAATCCAGAGGGATTCATTTCCTTGTATTTTCTAGCTTCTGAAGGCCATCTGTAACTCCTTGGCACAAGGCCCCCTTCCAGTATATTCATGACCCTGACCACTATTTCTAGTATCACATCTCCTCTCTGATTCTCCTGTCTCCTTCTTTCATATACAAGACACTTTAATTATATTAGTCCCATCTGGATAAGCCAGAACAATCTCTCCATCACAAGATCCTTAACTTAATCATACCTGCACAACCCCTCCAGCCAGCTAAGGTGAAATTCGAAGTTTCTGGGGCTGGAACTCCAGGCATAGAGCTGGTGCTCATTCAGAGTGAAGACACACAATGCTGAGCTGCTGGGCCACATGCCATCAGCAGGACCAGAAGGTTGTCCTACTGAACCAGCAACAAAACTGGTGACAGGCAGTCATAAAATGTACTGAAGGAAGCAAATTCTTCTGCAACTTCTGCTGTTCTAGGTTACTGGTCAATACTTGAAGAGAATTCTACATATTTGTTGCTAATACGTAGCATATTCATGGAACAATTTGGGCTTTCTGATGCTCATATGTGCTCCTACGATTCCTATGACAAACTGCCTCACACCCACCTTAAATTGGGGCTGGGTATTTTCTGAAAACCAAACCAAGATCCTGATATATAAAAAAAACTACAAATGCACAAACCAGTTGGAATCAAGAATGAACCTGATGACAGGCCAAAGCAGATATGAGGGCAGGCATAGTTTTTCTGGTTTATAATTAGGAAAATAAACTGCAAGTAGGTGAAACTGTGGTGCATTAAGAGACAGTTTTATAAAAGTAAGCCTGAGTAAGTGTGTGGTATAGTGTTAATTCAGTCTCAATAATCATGTATCACAAAGAACTGTTTTTTTTTATTTCCTAGAGCTTTTTTTATAGATTCTACCTGAGAAGTGAAGAAATTAGGGTGTCTGAAGTGTTACAAATGGAATCAGCTGTACTCCTTGGAGAGAAGTTTGCTTTAACAAGATTTATTTCTGTCTAGCTGTTATTCTTTACATATAAAGTAACACTTGAATCAATTAATTTTTTATATGAATTTTTCCAGAACATGGTTTCATGGGATGCACAGTTTAATAAAATTTTTACTCCCCGCCCCCCATTGAATATTCTGTGCAGTAAATCCCCTTTCCTCAGGATTCCTGAGACTACGTGAAAAACAGAAAGCTTCAGCACATGGCTTATACCTATTAGGCACCCATTCAATGACTGCTGAACAACCATATGAACATATAAATACACAAGGGTCTAAACAGAGTCCCTTGCAACAAGGTCAATCTGATAAGTTGGCTTATTGGAAAATGCCATTTAACTTCTTTCAACAAACATTAAGTATGTAAATTGCATAGAAAGAGAATTCCTTAGTAACCTAAGTTTGTCAGACCTTTTCACATAACATGTTTTCAAGTCAAGATATTATAGTAGTTGAAAGGTCTTGGAGACATGAAAACTTGGCTTTGAATTCTGCTCACAAAAATTGCTGGTTATTACATGATTTGGGAAAACTGCTTAACCTTTTTCACTTCCACTTCTTCATCTCTAATGGTAGGATAATAATATTAAACTAGGGCAGTGATTCTTTCCATGTAATGACAATGTATGGATAATGTTCAACAGTTCCTAGTGCATTGGTGACAATGATAATACATCTAGATCCAAGCCTCTCAGTTACTCAGATACTCCAAGACAGAAAGGTTTCCCACAATGCGAGGCCCATCTTTCTTAGGTACATGTTCATCAGGTATGTTTATCAGGAAGCTCCTTATCGTCTCATGTAAACATAAACTAGATCTATGAGGTAGAACTAAAGTGCCCCCTGATGATCCTTCTTTACCATATGGCCACTGAGTCCAGCTCATATGCTTATATTACTTTGCTTACTAATACTTTGACCATTATTATTATTTTGACCAACCTATAGTACTGTACTTTCTAATACTAATGACTGACTAGAGTGCTGCAAGCTTCCCATCCCCAGCCAGGGTCTAGGCATGGCCCCAAGGTATGATCCATTACTAATAGGAAGAAGGAGGAGAGATAATCTAGGGCTTTTCATTGATGTGAATCATCTCTTCCATCCCCATCATTTTCTTTCCTTTATCTTTTTCATCTTTTCCTTTCCTTTCTCCTACTATGTCTCACCTACTGTTACCCTAAATGGTCCTTTTTAATATCTCAAAGTCCCTACAATTAGAAAGATAAATTTTCATTACCTTATTCTCACAGCTCCTACAATTAGAAAGAACTATATAAGGTGTTCAGGTAATATATGCAAAGAATAAACAATATCTAAAAATCATCCCTATTTTTAACTGAGTTAACTAGAAAGAAATAACCAAAATTCAGCAGGCAAAAGAGGATTTTTTTATGTGATTTATATACCTGATATTCTTACCATCACAAAACAACATGACTTAAGAGCTGTTTTCTTCTAATTATATAATTTATTTTCTCCTAAAACCTGTATTACAAACATTACCATAAATGCCAATCTTTATAGGAATAGAGGTAAGAGAAAATAATGTTTTGGTCTTAAATCAATACCAACTACTAATTCTTTTGTACTGATACATGCCATTGCTTGAAATTCTCAAACTTTTCACATTTTTTTTCTTTGCAAAGTAAAAAAAAATAGATAAGGTCTATATAATTTTAGCAAGACAGTCAATCACAGCCAAGCATAGTCTGACTTTCTAGATAAGATCAGAAAACTGTATTCTTCTCTGCTAGGAAAAAAGTTATTTCGAAAATATTAATGTAATGCCAGATATCTTCTGTAGCCTTGAATTTAATCTTTCAGTATAGAGCTACAATTCTGTCATACTGACTTACGGCCTATCCAGGAAGAATTCAGTGAACTTCAAAATATGTCCATTTCCTTTTCTTTGAATTATACATTAATGACAGCTTGCCTTTAGAACACTATTCCTTTTAATGGAAAGCTAGCCAATACACCCAATTTTTTATTCCTACTTTGTAAAATCCTCTTGTGAAACCAACAAGTTATAGAATTAGCTCAAGAAAAATTATGTTATCTCCATCAATAGCATTCCATTTCCTGCCTCTAGTCACCTGAATGCACATGCCTGGGGCCAGGACATAGTAGCACCACTCACACAATCACATTCCTCACTGAAAAGACCCCCAAGTAACCCTGTGGAGGTTAGTAGAACTGATAAAGGAAGGGGCAGAATCTCCATTTCAATAGAAGTGCAACAGTGTGAAAAATAAAAGGAGGGATTGGAGTCAAAACAAGGGGGTTGCAATTGTATAGGGAATATAAAAATAAAATTAAAATAAATAAATATAGAAATAAATAAATAAATAAAAGGAAAGTCAATTAGGGTATTTTTAAGGTAAGCATATAAGCATTTCATCATCTCCAAAGTCTCTCCTGCTCATCATCCAGGACACAGCTTTTCAACCTTATAACCAAGTAGAATCTTTACTAACCAATACAGTGAGATTTTTAGTATCTCTCCAACATCCAACTAGTCAGGAAAATATTCGAAATTAAACCCTCAAAAACAACTGACATCAGATACCAAAAGTTTGGTTACCTTTATTACTCTTACTCCATCAAGGTCATGATGGAAAACCGCTACTCATTAAACTTTTATCTACGCACCTTTTCACATTTCTATTCATTTCTTCTCTTCAACCATTTAATTTCTTAAAAGACAATAACATCTGTCACTTCAAGAGACTAGTAACTTGCTTCCTACACATTCAATGGCTTATTCTTGCCTCCTATGAGCACAATTGGAAAGTACTCTCTGATGGAAACCAGGTAAGCAAAGATGAGCACACATATGCAAGTCGTGAATGTAGACTTTAGGCAGTAGACTTTAGGCAGAATAGGAAAAATTGCAAAGAAATTAGCAAGGGCAAAACATTTAGGATGTTCAGAGTATTTTCATTTATAAAGAACCTAACTGTTAGGGGGAAAAGGCAGTCCCAAAGCAAATTCCATACAGGCTTTGTGGACTCCACCCCCACCCCAGGTCAAAGCCAAAGACACTGGGAACTCCAAATCCCATCACCACCAAAGGGAAGGTGGCTGGGACCTGAGGGTGGGGTTAAGCAGCCAGGTGGATACAAAAGGCAGACACGTGGGCTTTGGGGGCTCTCTCTCTCTCTCCATTTTGGGGCCCTCGGCCAGCTCGCGGCGTCCGTCTAGCTCTGAGAGTGACTTTGGGGTTTCCAGGTCGTCGGATCGGGTAGGACGCATTAAAGACTTTATTTCCCTATTTTCTCCCTGAGTTGTACATTTTCCTTATTTCTTTTTCTCTTGTAAATAAACCTTTTATTAACCCTTTTGCGTGTGTCTGTAGTAGAGTATTCATAAGTCCCTTTAAAGCGCGCGGGTGAGGACCCACAGCCAGGAACCCGTTTAATATCGGGGTTGCTCTATAACATAACCACTTAAAATCATATCAGGATTCAATCAGAGAATGGGATATCTGTAATCAGAAAAATGTAATATGAAATCATACTCACAGTTTGATGGCTTCTGTCACAGTAACGCAGACCAAAATAATCTATCTCCACAAGGTTTACGTGACGGAATACGTGGTCAAGGACAACTGAACCTTTCGTTGACTTCTGCAAAAATAATTGATAGTTATGGTTGTGGTTTCTTTTAAGATTTATTTATTTATGCATACAAGAGCTGGGGTACAGGCCAGAGGTGTGAGGGTGGAGAGGATTCACCAGAGACAGAGTGGGGAACAGAATAGGCAGAATGACTGAAATTCATTGCTGAGGGGAGCAGTGAGCAAGTCCGGAGACGTCTGCTGCACCATGTGTGTTGCTCCCTGGCCTGGGATCGAACTCATGCTGCAGTGGCTGAGTATAGCTTCATAGGTTGCGTCTTAACCCCTTGTGCCACAAGGGAGACCCAATGTCTTTTTTTTAATTTTTAACAAGGTGTCTTGTATTTCTCAATGGGACACAATCACAGTTCTTGTCTTTTATATGCTTCACCCACAAAGGGAGCCATTTTATCAGTCCATGGTTCCTCTTGTAAGCTTTGCCTCAAATACAAAGAAAAAGAGTTTTTAAATAAAGTAAAGACATTGCTTTGGAAATATAATTTTTAAATTGTGGCAGATTTCAAATTAATATAAGATTTTCTCAAGACAAAATTATCTTCAGAAAAAAAATCATTCTTTTAATAAAGATAATTTTTATATGAAGAGTATCAAATAAATTAAGCAAATAACACTTACTTTGATTAAAATTCCATAATTCTTTCACTTTAAGGAACAATTTTCACTTTCTGCTTTACTCTCACAATTAATATAGAAGATAAATAAAACTGAAATAATAGCTAAAGTTTTTATTTCTAATCTTCAAGAAATAATACCATATATTTAAGCTACCAAAGTTCATGTTCTAAAAAGCACTTCTATAGATATTTTAATTTATCTCTTTCACATAAGCACAGACATAAGGATAATTTTTCCCTTGGCTGCTTTGAGAATGCTGACATCTAACTAAAAGCCAAAGTCTATTGCCACCTTCCACTTTAAATTCATAGTCTAAGCATACAAATATTAAAAACCAATTATTCAATCACTTAAGATAAACATTTAATCAGCAGACATTACTCCACACACCACATTAATCTTGAAATTAATCCATTCTATTGGTATATACACAAGTACAGTCTTCCTGTCTTATGTCCCATCATTGCCAGGTATAACAGATTAGTAAAAGCAATCCCCAAGAAGTCACACATTTTGTTAACAAAGAGTTTTGTTTAGTTTCTTTATCCCTCAGAGAATTACATTATGTGCTTACTCATATATGGTAACTACTCAATATTGTGCTTCTTTTAGGGAAAAATTGTGATATAAGGTAAATGTTTTGATTAAATGTATTATAAAATTGGTAATATGAAGTGAAAAAAGTACACACTGGGAGAAGATCTAGTTACAAGTCCTGTAGGTATTTACCCTGTTTAAACTTAATTACTAAATTACCTTGGTTAAGTTTAATTGGTCCCTTTTTCAAAATCCATTATATTTCTTACTGTAAAGCACAATGATACATTTGGTAAAAGTCTATTTGTGCTTATGTCTTTACCAAGGCAAAAATATAAAGTGAAATGACTCACTGAAAGGACAAACTCAAAGATACAATGGGCACTGCCAAAAAGACCATTATAAATCATTCACTGACAGTACTTTTCCCACACCTTTGTCAATGCTGGATTGAGCAAAATTTTCCAAACTGATTGAGCAAGAAAATGGGGAGCATTAATAGTCTTAATTTACATTTTCCTGACACTAATAAAAGTAAGAGCTTACTAATCATATGCTTTCTACATATGCTTACTAATCAATCTTATTTCCTAGATTGTGGGTTAGGCTTTCTTCAACTCCAAGTTTATGGGCAAGTCTCCCAAGTCTTTCTGATAATTCTAAAATTTTACTAGACTATTTAGCTTTGACTCCACTGGAAATTAATTTTGTGCTTGAGATAAGGGCTCAACTTTGCTTCCGAATGGATGGACAATTACACTACCGTTTACCAAGAAGTACGGAATTTACTTATTGATTTGAAACTTCATCTACTAAGTGAGCATTCATTCTATTCTATGAATCATTCCCAAACCAGTCCTCCAAGATTTTGATGAGTTTAATTTGTTGATCTCTCTCTCTTTCTTTCTTTTTATTTTTTGTATTGTCTTTACCAATTATTAGATATTTTTCTCTACTATAGGGAGCTTAGAAGCAGCTTGCAAATTTAATAAAATTTTCTGTTGGGAATCTGAGTGGAATTAATTTGAATTGACAACTGGATGACTTGGTGGAGGATGAGGTATGATAAATTTCAAAGTAAAATCTATGTTTTTTTCTGGCATCCTCAAGGAAGTTTTTTATATATATATATAGTTCTTATAAAATTCTATGTAGGCTTTGTGGCAGTCAGAATTTACAAAATTCTGCCCTCCCAAAAATCATGTACTAACTTTCAATCCCTGGAACCTGTGAATGTGATGAAGTTCACTCCTGTGATTGTGCTATGTTATATGCACTAGGGACACATGAATAGGGAGATAGGGAGAGGATCTGACCTAATCACTGGGGCACTTATAACCATTTCTCCAGCAAAAGAGAAAAACATTAGGCAAGATAGTCTACACATGAGAATAATTTCAGAGGGCCAGTTCACCAACCCCTTGATTTCAGCCTTATGAGACTAAGCAAGTCATACCATCTTAGACTTCTGAACTACAGAATAGTGCGATATTGAAGCCATTAATTTGTGGTAATTTACGATACAGAATAGAAAACTACTAAATTTATTCTTATTTTACAATTTTACTGTTGCTGTATTTTCTAACCAGCAATATATTATTAATATATTGGAAAGAAAAGTAAGTTTCTTTCTACATTGGTCCATTTCCTAGACGTCTTGCCAAACTCTCAATCTGTAAAAATAATTTGTGTAGACTTTTCAGATAATAACAACTTTATTACATTTTTTACAAATAATAAATGTTCTAGCTCTTCCTTTTCAAAATGCCTCCTCTATATTTATTTCTCTTTTCTTACTGCATTGGCTGGGGTCTCAACAGAAGGATAGTTGGCAATTGCGAAACCATTCATCCCTATATTCTTTACCATCACTAAGTATTAATGGCTGTTACACAGCCCTTGTGTATACCATTTATCCAGTGCAAGTTTCCTTTTATTCCTGACTTTTGACCCTTTTTGTTTTATATTATCTTTTCTGATTTTTAATCAAGAATGTGTGATAATTTTATGAATTTTTTTCTGGAAATACGGAATCACTACATGATTTTTGTCCTTTGATCTATGAGTTACTTTAAAACAATTTCCAAGTCAAGGCCTCCCCGGTGGTGCAGCAGGTTGAGCGTAGCACTGTGAAGCTGTCCACCTGGCCAGGGAGAAACACACATGGCATGGCAGACCTCTCCTGCCCTGCCCGCTGCTTCCCTCAGGAGTGTCTTTGGTCCGTCTACCTGCTCTGTTCCCTGCTGTCTCTGGTGAATTCTCTCACCCTCCCATGCCTCTGACTTGTACCCCAGTTCTTGTACAAATAAATCTTAAAAAAAAAAAAAAGAAACCATCTGATATTTTTCTTTTTCCTTCTGGCTTATTTCACTGAGCATAATTCCTTCTAGCTCCATCCACATTGCTGTAAATGGCATGAGTTTATGTTTTCTGATTGCTGAATAATATTCCATTGTGTATATATACCACTTATATATAGCAGGAATATAGGGGAACAGAATAAGACATTAGTATAGAAAAAATAACAGTACAAAAGACAACAAAGTAAAAATGGACAATTATAAATCAGAGACATACTGCAGGGGAGGAGGAGGGAAAGGCATCAGGAGGAGGAAGACAGGCACACAGGGGACTATGGTGATGGTGCACAGGTGCCTTGGGGAAGGAAATTCTATGAGGACTCAACCTGAGGGGGCTGGGGGAAGCAAATAGTGTTTAAAAGAATTAAATTAAATTAAAAAATTAAAAAATAAAAACCTTAAGAAAAATGAAATAAAATAAAATAAAAATAATTTCCAAGTCAAATATTCTTAATAGAAAATGTCCCATTTATTGATCATTATTTTGTTCTGGGTATATAATATGAAGCCTCCTCCCTACTTGTAGAAAATCACCCACTATATGAATCTTGGGGGAGGCAGGACCCATATCCCCTAACACCTGGATGGGTTAATAGCACATGACTTGGTTTCAATCAAAGACTTTGACTTCTGAACAAGTGATGCAAAGATAAAAAGCTGAAAATTCATTCATGGCAGTGGTTACCAACAGTAGGTGTCCAACAGCAGAGACATCCAATCCAGAGGTGAAATCAACTGGAATAGGACTAATAATGACTGATTTCTGAAGCAGATTTCTCAGCAATCTTTTTTTTTTTATTTTTTTGCCACATGACAGTTTTATAGTTTTACTAAAACAATACAATGTGCATAGAAATAGGCTATTTCTTTTCTTCACTGGTAATAGGGTTGGTGACTCTAATGGCCAGCTGGACACTCTTTCCATAATGACTTTAAGAGTCTTGAAGGAAACATTGTGAGCAATCTCAGTAAAGTTAGATTTGTTGCACATTAGCAGCACATTGAGCTCCTTGAAATTGTGGACCAGGAACTTCTGGAAACCACTGGGTAGCATATGCTTTGATTTTTTGTTTATTTTGTTTTTGTTTTGTTTTTTGTTGCTCCTATAACCAAAGGTTGTCATAAAGATCAGGCACCTAAATCTGTGTGCCATGTTGTCAATACAACTGTTTCAACCAGTTATACATAACTTTGACATATAAGCCTGGTGGGTGCTAGATGAACACCATGGACCTCTTTTTCAGAATAGTGGGCTTAATGGTGCTAAGGATGGCCATGATGCTGAGTGAAAATGGCTGTTTCTGTATAGCCACAGAGACATTAACCAAAACAGAGAGACACCCCACTGGTTTGCACTCCATCAACTGATAAGTGACTAATTACAAAGATATACAAAGAACTCACTTGGCACTTGGCGCAACAAAAACAAAGTAAACAATCCAGTCAAGAAATGGGCAGAAGAACTTGAAAGACATTT